GAAAAATATCAAGTAAAACTAATTTTATATGTTGCAAATTAAAATATTTAAAAATCTTATTGTAGTATATAAAATAATACATTTTAAAAAATAAATGTATGAAATTGAATATAAATATTCAAATTCTGATCCGTTACTCAGTCGAAATTTTTGTTGAACTTATTTTTGGTTAAAAGAAATATATTACTCAAATGTGAATTTTTGACCCGTTAAATTTTTTTCTTCATAGATTTAACAATTTATATTCGTTTTTAAAAATTCAAATCTTGGCATATGCAGAAAAAATTTACTTTTTTTTTGTTATATGGATGATATGATGATTTCTTTGTTTCATAAAAATAGAATCATATAAAGATGAGAGGTGAAGTATAATGATTAATAACAAATTAATATGGTAAGTTTGATATCAAATCTTATATGTTCATTTTGATTAGTCATTTTTTTTTTTTAAGTTAATAATATATTTTGTTTTTAATAATTAAATTAATTAAATTTCATAAATTAGTATTTGACTTGTTTATCCTTAATGAGCTAAATTAATTTACTCTTTATATTTTTATCTCTAATGGCATTCTAATGTAATAACTTACAAAGGGAAAGGTTATTAAAGGGTAATTATAAATTGTACTCCCTAAATAATAGTATAGGATATTTTAAAAAACCGTAAATATAAAAATAACAAAATATAAGATATCAAAGTTCTTGTTTGATATGCTTTCAAAATATGTTCAAAAAAACAAACGTAACCATTGTTGATATCACCGATCAAGAACATGCCATCAAACTAATTCCCAAGCCCAAAAGATACAAATACACAAACTATATTATGATATATATATATATATATATTCTAATATATATAGGAAAATACGGATCGAAGCGGATATCCAATATTTTAAAAAACAGTATTTGGTATTTGCTTCGATTTTAACGAATATTATATTTTTCTATTTGCTTTGCTTCAAAATCTTACGGATATTCGGATTTTTCGAATCAAATCAAATCGAATACCGAATCGAAGCGGATCGAACGAATATTTTGCCCAGGCCTAGAAACTAGAAGGTCCGTCTCAATATACAGTGGAGCCTCTGAGAACACCAAAAAAAAAAACAAAAAAACTAAAGCCTCTTAGAAATTTAAAAAAAAATAAAAAAATTGGACCTTTTAACTTCAAGAAATTTTTTGAAATTAATTTTGGATCCATGGTCTTTGCCTAGAGGTAGAGACTGCATGCCGGAATAGAACTAGTAGTCTTTATATAGTACAATCTTAAAATACACTGCACTTGGTAACTGAGTCATCGATAGCATAGTTATATAGTAAACCCTCAACTTCAAGTCATGGCTACACTACTGTCCCACAAGTATAAACCTAAACATCACTATTGGATTGAAGGTTATGATTAATATTGGTCGAAAACTATTTGAATTTGAGAAAAAGAACTGTGAATGATTTCAATCACGTAGTCTAATCATGCTTATGTTCTTGATATCTATATGCAGTTCGGGTTTTGGTATGAACAAAGTTTGACGAAAATATATAGCCTAAGACCATGTATACTGGTGATTTTTTTTTAGTATTATTAGCCCAAAAACAATTTTTTAATGGACCAAACTACATAATTGGGCATGATCCGTATCAGACCATCTCTAATGGGGATTTTTCACCCAGTGTCTTGCAATTAAAATAATGAAAAAATAAAAAAAAGAGGAGAGAGAATGAGACACGTTTCTCCTGCGAAAAATCCTGAGACATTCTTAAAAAGTCATTTTGCCAAGTATTTTAATTTGAATGGTGTAATTTAATTAATTGTTTCAAATTTAATCAAAAAATAAAATCATAATAACAATAATATTTTTTATTCCTCAGATACTCTTTTTTGAGACACTCACTGATGGAGATGCTCTCAGTCCACTGATACCTGTGATACTCAGTATTGTGTGACGTGGCAGAATGCCATTGGACCGTGAAAATATTTTTTTAATTATTAATGATACCAATACCGGTCTCACCACTGAAAACAGATTTCTTACTAATATCATAAAAAATCTCAAACAATAAACAAACATTAAAATTAATACTAAAAAATTGTTAATGATACTCTATGAGTACCAACTATGTGGATGCTCTAAGCTTCCTATTGTTCTGAATTAATGGACCATGACTACCTATCTATTGAAATTTTTTTTTTTGTATGCAAGAGTAGTTCTATTTTTTTTTTTTGGTCGGATGCAAGAGTAGTTCTATAGCCATATGGGTTTGGTTCTTAAAATTAAAAAAATTATTATCCCATACAAATTCGTATAAGCAATCCAAAATAAAGCTTAATAAAGTAAAAACAATCATCCTAATTCTACAAGGGTTTATTGATTCATAGATTTTAGTTGATTTATAAATCTAGTGTTAGGATATTTGATTTTAAAATTCTTTTCAAAATCAGGTGTTATTCATTTAATAATTTTAAATACTAGTTAAAATAATGTGATTTGTTTAATGATTTTTATTTGGATTTTAAAATCCACATTAGATTTTAGATGAATTTGAAAGTGAAAATTAGAAGAATTTAAATTCGTAGGTAAACAATGTTATTCCAAAATTCATATGTTTGATTTCAAAATCAATGAGAATTTCCGAGTCTTATATAGATTTCATTGAACCAATAAAAACCTCTTAAATGCCGTCAAAAGAAAAATGGTTAATCTAATTCTCTTTTGTAAAAATTAATAAACTAACGGATTACAACCAAACAAATTTGAATATAAGAATCCCATTTTTATGTGAAACAAAAATTTATGTATCACATTTTATTACATAAAGTCAAGCATATTTATATAATTATATAATACAAATCTAGCTCGGATTTTTCACATTATTAATTAAAATACATTATAATCGACTAAAAAAAATTAAAAAGACACACAAACACAGTACGTCTACAAATTCCAACAAAAAAAAAACGAAAACGACATAACACACATAATAACACTTTTTTTTTTTGGTTTAAAACACAATAACACTTGTGAGTCTCATAGTCAACACTGAACATGTGAGTGCGTCTCTTTATCCAATTTAATCCACATTCTCTATCACGTCTTCAATAAACTTTTCCAAAGCCGTCTTCGAAGATCCACCGTCCATTAACGCCACATGACACTTCTCAGCCATCTCCTTCACTCTATTCCTTACATCACTATCCTTCTCCATCACACGCCTGATAGCTTTCTCTATATCCTCCGCCGTAACCGTCTCCATTTCTCCGACCAACAACAAATCACCTTTAATACACTTACGTATCTCCACCGCCAACCCTAACTCCTCCACCATCTCAAACGCGTTAACCTTCTGCTCCGCGTAAAGCGGCCACGTCACCATCGGAACACCAAACCACAAGCTCTCTAGCATCGAGTTCCAACCACAATGAGTAACAAACCCTCCTATCGCCGGTTTCTCTAACACCGCCACTTGTGGTGCCCATCCGATCACTTTCCCTCTATCCGATGTCCGGTCCAAGAACCCCTCCGGTAAAACCTCATCAAGATTCGTGTAATCTCCGGGACGTTCCATCATTATATTCGGCGATGCACGACGGAGAGACCAAAGAAACCGGTGACCGCTACGATCTAACGCTACAGCTACCTCTCTAGTTTGCTCCTCAGTGAAACCTCCCATACTTCCAAAACAGAGAAACACAACAGATTTCGGCGGTTGCTCATCGAGCCACCGCAAAATCTCCGATTGTTTTTCACCGGTTTCGAGATGCAACACTGGTCCAATAGGATAAGCTTGAGGAAGATCAACATTATTAAACATTTTTAAAGCTTGAGGCTCAAGCTCAGCCACTGTATTTACTAAAATACCCTTCATCTTACGGAAAAATCTAGCTTGAGCTACAAAGAATGGTAGCCACTCCTTTGAAGTGAGGACATGAGGAAGACACTTCACTGGATAAGGACGTGTCAAACACGGGAACTCCAATTCGTTGACTGACTCATCCAAATCGCTGACGTCACACTTCTTGTCGTCGTACATTTGTTGAACGTGAAGTGTGATTCCCAGAAACGTAGCGTTTGATGTGTAGACCATATAACACGGAACATCGAATTCGTTAGCTACATCGATCATTGAAGAACAGAACATGTCCACCACGAATCCAGCGAGTTTTCGTGTTGGAGTGATGATTCTGGCTACTGTGTCTCTCACTTTTGTCTTTTGTTTCTCGATGTAGACTTGAGACGGTTCTATATTGGCGGTTGGTGGTTCTTTTACGACGGTGATGGGTTCGTAACGGAGACGATCTTGAGACTCTGTCGTGAGGGATGCGATATAGGCGGTTGCATCACCGGCGTCGTTTCTGGAAGGGATGATGATTACGGTTATTGAAATACGGTCTTCACTTCCGATGAGTTGCTTTGCTAGTTTCACGGTTGGCCGGAGATGGCCAATTCCCGGCGAAGGTATGAACACGAGCTCAATCATCTTCTTTTTCTGTTTTTTGGGTTTTTGGACTTTTCGTGTTATTAGTAAAGTAGAGGTGTTATTTTATAAGGTAAATGAAGTTGTTTGTTGGGTCACGTAAGCTGGCCCATTTAGCATTATTGGGCCAAGGAAAACCTAAACTATAGATATGGTAGCCGCCTTTGGAAACCCTAATTTCTCAGAAGAGTTTCTTGTATCTGCCTGTGTGAGTATTTATATGGTTTCGTTTTCTGCTAATTCGTAGGATCTTCCTCTTTTTCTTGTCTGTTTGTTATAATTGGTGATTTTAGGGTTAGGTCTGTGACTATTTTCGTGTCTGTATATGTGATGATTTAGTTTTATGGTACGTGGAAGGGGTTAATATGGTGATGATACAAGTGTATGTGGACTAGAGTTTCAGATCTGGGATTCTTCTCCCAGAAGTTGAAGATTAACCCTTGGCTGTCTGAGTATTAATCACCCTTTCACACAAAATCCTATCTTTTGATTGTTTTGATTAATGTTTTTGTCATTGTTTGGGTTATAAGCTGATGATGATAAAAAACAATTATCTTAGCGGATTTCAGTGAGATTTTTTCAATCAATGATCTGAGTTTGTTACACACACTGAAGCTTTTATGTTTTTCTTACAATGTTTGTTTTTGGATTTGTATTCTTTGGGTGGGTTGATGTTTTTTTCTACTTGTGAGCTGATGATGATAAAAAACAATTATCTTAGCGGATTTCAGTGAGGTTCTTGAATCAATGATCTGAATTTGTTACACACACTGAGGCTTCGTTCTTTTACCAATGTTTGGCTTTTTTTTTGTTGGATTATTGTTGTGTTTGATGATGCAATGATGAGAGAAAAGCACGAAGAGTGTGAGAAGAGCAGTGGTTATACCGTGAGCTCTCCTATTTAAACGACTTCTCCTTCCACTGAGCATATTGAACGAAACTTTCCTCTTTTGAAGAAATATATTGAGTGTTTTTTGGTTTTTGTATTGGCGTCCATTACCAATTCTAAGGGATAAACACAATTCCTTCAGGTATAATGGCTTGTGACGCTATATTGGTTTGTGGTATATCCTGATCATCTTTCTTTTTTTCAATGCCTTTTGATCCTGGAAATGCCTCGCACATAATAACAATCAGTCTTTTGCCTTTTTTTTTTTTTTTTTTTAAATTCTGGAAATGTCTTTTCTAGATTCTAATTACCACAACTCTAGTATTTGTAAATTTGTGTAATTTGATGACAATGTATACATTTCATATGACATCTTTTGCTGCTTTTCTTCATCTCCTTGTATTAGCTTTTTCATCAACAGACGATCGTTGCATTGTTGTGAGTGCTACAATGTCGATGGACTAGTACAAGATTGGTAAAGTCGCCAACTCAGAGATGCTAGAGACTATGAGGGGCATACGGGGATATTACAGGGAAACCGCCACTTGTTTTTCCTCGTTATTCATTGATTCTCAAGATGTGACACTTCTTGGCGAACTCCAAAGTTGACACTTCTTTGATTTTAGGACTTTATGAAAACAGTTTCTGTGTTCAAATGTTGTTTCCTATGCTACTTTTGGAAAACAAGTTGACAACTATTAACTGTTCTTTTTGGACTTCTAATGAATTTTGGACACCTATTAAAGTGTTTAGCAAAAGTACAAAACAATTGACTTATCAGGTAACAAGTGTTTGGTCTAATGAGTTGATTTTTGGACATTTAATTAAATGAGTGACACCTATGGAAGAGTGATAAACAAACATTGACAATTGGACAGGTAATGCTATGACAGATTGTGTCAGCTATTGCAGTGATCTTGTGTTGAATTGCATGCAATAGGAGATGTTTCAAAAACAGTGCATCTTAAGGTCTTAAGTTCGATTGCTAGGGAGTAGACTACGTATCCTTCTACGGTATCCGGTTCTAGGAGACTCCAGGCCTAAAAGCCCAGAAACCTTTACCAAAAACTAAAATGTATCATGTGAAAATGGCATGGCTAATTCTTTATTATATCTGATTTTTGTGCCGAAACTCATACTTCGAAAATAAATTGTTTCTTGAATCGGAGGATTTCGTCGAAAATTGGATGTTGTGGTCGGGAAAAAATTCACAAACGAAAAATCAATCTTTTGTCATCGAATAAATGATTTTCCAGTTTATTTCACAAAGTTTTCTTTCAATCATTTAAGTGCCTCTAACCTCTCTTCTTTTTATATGTGAGAACTTGGGCAATATACTTTGTAAAGTCACAGAAATTGATACTATAACTATCCATAACCACCGGTTAATCAAACCAGACTAGTATGCTGCAAACTCATAATTAAGTTCGTTAAACCAACACTCGGAATAAATTGCTTCGAACTAGTCTTATTACTCGGATGTTTTGAATAACAAGAAAACGTGTTCTAAATGAATGTGTACGTAATTACCTCATAGAAACATACACGTTTTCTAATAAACATCTACACACTTTCTTGCGAGCCACACAAATTAACTAAAGAATCAAACTAAAACTCCTAAATTTATGGTCAACCACATTAGGACAACAAAAACATCTAACGAACAAAAAAACCACACGTGACAAAAGATACCCCACGTGGCAAAAACCCACTTAACTAGGTGGACCCCACACAGAATAAAAACAGAGCAAAACCTTTTCTTCTCTGTTCTTTCTCATCTCCTTCCACTGGGACTCACACACCCTTGTAAAGTTTCTATCTTTGGAACCCTAAAACACAAACGATTTTACACGTTTATTGTTATACTCTGTTTCGAAAATTTCTTCATTTATTGGTTATGAGTTTCTAGACATTGTATGATTTTAGTAATAGTACTGATCGATCTCGAGAATCCACAATTTCTTAGTTTGTGAGTGCTTGCTTCTCTAACCTCCATTGAATCACACACACACATGTATTAGTCACAGTCACACACTAAAAAAACATAGAAACCTATAATGAATCTTCATTGCTACGATCTAATTCTTCTGTTTCATATAAACATATTTGATCTCTAAATGTTTTGATTTTGTCTCACGATCCTTATATGCTACAGGATTTTAGGTGTGTGTAGCGATTGGGATCGAGAAATCGTTATTTATATTCGAGTTTTGTCTTTGAAGAAGTATGGAGGCTCGATGTGACTATTGTGAAACCGAAAAAGCATTAATTTACTGCAAATCAGATTTGGCTAAACTTTGTTTAAACTGTGATGTTAATATACACTCAGCGAATCCTCTGTCTCAAAGACACACACGGACTTTACTCTGTGAGAAATGTTTCTTGCAACCCACGGTAATCCATTGTCTGAACGAGAAGGTTTCTCTTTGCCAAGGATGTCAATGGACCGCAAGTAACTGCACTGGTTTAGGACATAGACTTCAGAGTCTGAACCCTTACTCTGGTTGTCCTTCTCCATCAGATTTCGCCAAGATCTGGTCTTCGATTTTAGAACCTTGTGTCTCAAATTGGGTCTCTCCATTTTCTGATACCCTGCTCCAAGAATTAGACGATTGGAATGGTTCATCAACTTCTGTGGTTACACAAAATCAGAATCTTAAAGACTATTCTTCTTTCTTTTCCAGGGAATCTAACCTTCCTAAAGTGCTAGAGGAGGTAACGTGTTGTTTAAGTAATATACCAAAATGTTAAATTATGATAAAGAACACAGTTTTTCATTTATATTCCATTCTCTATGCAGGAATGTTCTAGTTTGGATCTATGCGACGGGATAAACTTGGATGATGCGCCTTTGAATTTCAACGCAAGCAATGATATTATCGGATGTTCATCACTTGACAATACCAAATGTTATCAGTACGAGGATTCTTTTAAGGAAGAGAATGACATTGGCCTTCCTTCTCTACTGCTTCCTGCATTATCCGAAAATGTTGTTCCGAGCAGTGCGACTGATTACCAAGATTGTGGAATTTCGCCAGGGTTTCTGATAGGAGATTCGCCATGGGAATCGAATGTTGAAGTTAGATTTAATCCAAAATCAAGGGATGAGGCTAAAAAGAGATACAAACAAAAGAAATCAAAGCGCATGTAAGTTTTTAGAAAAAGAGTTAAGGTTTATGCTTTTGAAACATAATAATCTCTGAGGATAAATTTTGATATTTGTGGTAACATTTTTTAGGTTTGGGAAGCAAATACGATACGCATCACGCAAAGCCAGAGCGGATACGAGAAAACGAGTGAAAGGAAGATTTGTGAAATCTGGAGAAACTTTTGAGTATGACCCATCACTGGTTATGTGAACTAGTGATTCTTCACTGCGATAAAGTCTCAGTTAAAGAATAATCTCACTCCATCCACGGGATTAACAGTTTCTTGTCGGAGAAGTAACAAAAAAAAGTATACAAGATCAAACTATAAAACCCTGAAATCAAGGCAAAGGTGATACCAAATGGAGACAAAAAAAATCTCAAATTTGCTCTTTTTTTTTACTAGAGAATTTCCTCTGTTTTTGATGTGACCAAAGAACCTACCGGTCATACAGCGACCAGACGATCAGACCAAATCAAGAAACCAAACAAGAGTCATTGACTCTTTCTTACTTATAGTTTCTTTATACTCAATTAAATGTTAATGATAGAAAAATATCTGTTTTCTTTGTGTTTTGGACCACTCTTTACTTTTCCATTTCACTTGATTGTAATTTGTAACGTTGTATTGTTTTCTTGTTTAAGGAAAATAAAGCCAAAGAATAAAGGCAGATTATGTTTGCCATAGTAAGAGTTGTTCTTGATTGCTTAAATTTTGCTATATTTGTCTAACTGTTTCTTGGTTTTCAATTTTTTTGAACTTTTAAGCTTTAGAATGTAAATTCTTATAACATTTCTATAGAAAAAGTTATTACATAAACCCTACCAAGATTTAATCTTAATTACGAGAACAAAACAAAACAAAAAATCAGAGAAACACAAAGGGGACTTTGTATTCACTATTATCTTCTTCAACCCTTGCCATCGTCCTTATCTCCGGTAAAACGACATTAAAATTATCACCGACAAGACATTGACGAGTTAACTTCTGACAGGTCGTGCAGATCACGCGCCGGAGATGTCTCCGAGCAAGAAAATTAGCAGAATGGACCCATCGATCACATTTCCTACAAAGGAAAGCCGCGTCTGCCTCACAATACACGGTGGCGTTCTCGCCGCAAAGCTCGCAGCTCACCGGAGCTCTAGGACCCTCCGTGCATAGTCTTTGGCATCCTCCATCGTCGTTTCTTCTCTCTTCTTTTTTCTCAACTCCTTTGCACATCTTTGTCTCTCTCTTGTGTAGTTGTGTTGAAGTCTTGACGATTTATATAGGAATGATTGTTATTTAAAGCAAATGGATATTTTGATTATGTCATTGAATAGGTTGTACACGTGGGAAAATATTGACCTATTGTTTTGATGTAATTGTCGAAAGAGGGCCAAATTGTCAATAATTTAGTTATTTTGCCTCCACCAGACGATCTTTCGTCCTCATGTTTGGATACACAAATTTCGAGTAGTTGACTAGTATGACTCTTAATTTGGTTCACAAATCACAATCACGTTCTAGAATGAATCATGACTCATAGCATTTTTGTGGTCTATAGAAAGGGAGTATATAATATCCGAATTCATTAATTATT